ATACTGGTTTGGTATCATGATGGACTTGTTTTGCTTTTTATCTTTAAATGGCGTGTTTGTCTTTTGTTAACAGCACATAATTGAAACAGTAAAAAAGCATTTCATTTTTTGTGGAATCTTTTTCAAATGTTTTTTGAAAATATTAGTTTTAGTCAATTAACATTGAAACTGTTAAAAGTGGAACAGTTATAAAATTGATTAAGGCTATACAGTATTAATTTTAATAAATTTTTATTTTAATTAAATATTTTAAACAACCAAAGTTTAATGAAAAGTTGAAGATATTTTTTATTTGCAAATGCCAATGATAGACTTTATACAGCAGATAGTTTTGGTGTTTTCATTTACGAGACTACAGAAGGATGATCCGTGAATCTGCAAACGTCATTCCCATTCGGTACAACGAAAAGTTTGACGCAGGCATTAATGCGTTCGTGTTTTGACTGCTGCAAGGGCATGTTTTATTATTTATTAGAAAAATCAATCCACAATATGGCAGCCAAATTTGTTGTTAACGCGCTATGCATAATAAAATTTTATAAAATTGCATTGGCTGGTTGACCGTTGATAAGTGGCATATATTTGAAACGGCCGAAATAATGTTCACATGGGATCAAAATATGCACCTAATTTCTTCACAAAAATGTTTTTCAAAACCACGACGGATCAGTGAGTTAAAATCTGGTGTTTAAATCGTTATTTTAATTTTTATTTATCTCAAAATAAAAGCGGAAAAAACTCTAATAGATTAAACGTTTCATTGATCATGGAATCATATGGTTGGTTTAATTTTTGGGAGATATGGAAAATGGTGTCCTGTAGCTGTGAGGCGAAAATGAGTTCTGAGTTCAACTCGTGAGATGCTAATGTAAACATTTTTTTGATTAATTGAGCTGAAATTATGTTTGTTCTGTTATGTTGGCAACGTATGAACGCACATGTGTTCGTGTAATTATAACTTTTTAAAATCTATGTTAATGTTTTTAATCAAAATTTCAAACATGAAGAAAACAAATTTATGGGTTGTGGAATGAAAACAGCAGCAATAAAAATGATCTTTCAACCAAACACTTTATGTTTTAGGAATAACTTCACCAGACGACAACATTGTAAAAAATTGACGGAAATAATAAACATATGGTTATATAACGATAGTAATTAGAAGCAAATTTTAGTTTTAAAAAACAAACAAAAAACATCAAAAACAACAACAAAATCAACAAACACAACAACATAGGTCAAATGTTATTGATTGAAAATGTTACTTCAAATCAAAAAATTCCAAGATGATGTCGCGCTTATTTGAAGCAAGTTTTTCAGTGACAGAAGTACAATCCATCTAGCAAACTTTTCTTCTTCTTCTCTCACATCCCAAGGGCATCTGTGAGCATTTTGCGCAAAAATCTTACAAATCATGCACAAATTTCAAATCAGTTGTTGATTTCAACAATTAAAAAATTTTCATTGGCAAGAAAAAAAGTATTTATATTGATAGATCTTCCATATACACAAAACATCTAAATAAGTTTAGTACGTAATTTTGCTGCAATGTGTCGTGTCTTATACTGCAAATATATTTTAAAACTTGCTGATCCAGTATGATTTTGTAGATGTTCCTCTTCACAAGAGATTGCAAACTTGGAGCATGTTTGAAGATAATACAATATAATGGGTATGCAGTTTCAACCGGATTGAAAATGCACAACCAATATTTCAAATTTGTAGAACAAATTAAAGTTGTTTATGTATCAACATCGTGTTCACATAAAACAGCTGTTTTGATATATCATATCGTCAGCTCGTCAAAAACACAATAAAAAGAGAATCATATATTTTAGCTTGTATATGTAGATTAACAGCATGTTGAAAATTTAAAAGTTTCTCAAGTAACAAAATTTGTGATATACATTCCATGAAATTGAATTGCTTTTTACTACGATAATGCCAACAATTAATCTCACGTAAAGTTATTTCCATGACCGCCAAGCCAGTAAACACAGAAAGTGGAAATTATCTTGCAATTTAATCAACGCTAAAAGGAAATAAATGTTGAAAGCACATTCGTCCTCTTCATCTTACTCTTGTTTCTTTTCTTCTCTTCTTTCCTCTCTTCCTCAATTTTATCTCTTTTTAGTTCTTTCTTTGCACCGGCTTTTCTGAAAACTCAGTTACACAAAACTGCGGTTGGTTAAAATATTTGAACAGATATTGACAACATCTTTTAAGCCGGTAACTTGTAAGTGTCAGTTAATATTTTAAAATCTTTATTTTGTACATCTTAAGTTTTTATAGAATGTAGGAGAGAGTTAAATTTTGGAACGTAGTAGTAATAAAAATTAAGGAATCATATTGGTCGTAGGTGATTTCACACCAGACCGTGCAGTTATGTCTCATTTTTTGTTGTTCGTTATCGAGTTACGCAGAGAAATAACTCAACTGGAACTTATATATCTTTTTAAAAAACTCAATGATCGCCTTTCAATAAGTTAGAACATGATTTGGATGCAGATGCAATTTTTGGTACTAGATTTATATAAACATAGGTTACATGTCAAGATTTCCGAAAAGACAGTTTACAATTTCCAAAGCATCACATCAACTCGAGTTATTTTGTTAAAATATTAGAAATATTACATGTTCTGGGAATATTTTGAACCTAAAAACAAATATTAACAAACATTTTTTATTTATTACTACTGCATATGTTTATGTTTTTCAAAATATTCTCTTTTATTTCTACAGGACCTTATCATTAAAATCTTCAGTAATTTACACCGCATATGTTTATCCAGCGATGTAGCCAGAATATTGCTGTTGATTTTTTAACACTCAAATTTCAACAAATTTTACTATTAATTTTCCGGCCAAGTGTTTACAAATTTATATTAAGATTTTGTCAATTTTAACCTAAACTATCACGAAATTGCCCAAAAGCCCCTATCTTGCCTACAACCCTGTGTGTGCCGTATTCTTAGTTTACATGTAAATAGGCTTTCAAAAACTATAACTAAACATGATGACAGATGGTAAATAATTGCATTAAAAATTGAAAACTGTCTGCAGATTATTTTCTACGGTAAGTTTTTGGTAGCATTTCAAAGAATATGGCGAAACGATTTTTTTATTCCTACTGACGTCACTGGCAGACGAATAAGAAAGGGGCATACAATTGTATGCACGGAGAAGAAAAGAAAACATAAAGACTGTATGCACAGATACACATTCAACTGTCTGATCATAACATAATAGAACATGCATGCATTTTGCATATATGCGCGTATACCCATACATTAAAACATTATATGCAGGCGTACGAACTTGAGCGTAGAATATAGCGCGCGTAATAACCTGCCTCCGTAATGACTGGATATGTAGAAAAGCACATTTTGTATGGAGGGTTTTTGTCAATCAATGCTGGCTCAGTTTAACACATGCTTGTATACTATTCCTCTGTCGTCATTCATTCATTCATAATTAATTAATTAATTAATTAATTAATTAATTAATTAATTAATTAATTAATTAATTTAACTTTTCATGATTTGGTTCGAAAATGTTTCATTTTGGATATTTTACAACCGACACAATATTTATTTGTATGCAACATAAAAATGGATAAAAGCAAATAATAGATTAATATATATATAAAAAAAGAAATATATGAAGCAATAATTAAATAAATAAGCAAATAAAAAAATAAATTGATAATATATACAACACAAAATTTTAAATAAAGTTGTATTTAATCTAGTGATAAATTATTCATTATAATAATTTATACTCTAATTTTGATATAGTCAGTTAAAAAGATGAAAATTAGTTTTCATGATGACTAAAATTTATAAATATTAAAAAACATTTTCTAGCGGTAAAATACAAAAATGTTTACAATTGTTTTATTATGTTCTAACTCAACCGTTTCAACAGTTGGTTCATAATTTTTTCTATTTTAAAATGGTCAATATGATGTTGTCGTTATTGTATTGTCGTTTAAATAGCAGAAATTGAACATTAGCGTGCATTGCTAAGTTTAATTAGAGAAGCACAACATCATGCTTACTAAATTCTACTTTGAAGAAATAAACAAGCCAAACTGAAGAGCATGATATACCATGTCTTATTCCACATATATGCAAAAGTTTTCACTGGAAGAAACAGATTATTCTTGGCTGCTATCCAAGCATTTCAATGTCTGTGAATACACATCGATTTGCCATTCTGTGAATAAATCATACATTTTTTTCAAACTAATTAGCGTTTGCAAGTTAGATTTATCAAAGTTTAAACTGTTTTTCATAACGACCCATTGCAAGATTAGATTAAAAAATCTGTCCAAGTCAAAAAATAAAATGAAAATATTGAAAATATTGTTGATAAGTTTAAAAAATCTCTGCGAAGCTTCGGACTCAAGCTGGATGGCAGTTTATTTCACAGTCATGCTATCAGTCGTATATTTCATCATATCTAGTAAAGTTTCAGCACATCAGACGGCCACAGAACTCCATTTCCACAACAAGAAACATGTCATCAAAACATATCTCTATAAGCCGCACACTTTCAAGACTGACGTTTTAAATTTGACGTCTACGCATTATGCATATGCCAACGTCGATATTGCTAGTCTGCCGCACGACGAAATTGATTTTCTGAAAAACAAAAGTAAAAGACTAATCCCCGGTTTGCATAAAATGTCTCCCCAGTTTCAAGGAGTCAATCGAACCTTTAAAACTGTATTTGATCTCTTCAGAAATAACAACATATCTTATACAAAGAGACGTAAAAAAAGGTACATTTCAAACACTAAGAAAAATAAACATTCCGTCACTGAAACCAGCAAAAATATTTTCAACAGCGAGCATAATTTTAACGACAATAACGTTCATAACGATCAGCCTCATTTCGATTTCTTGGTATCACAGAATAGACACAACAGCGAATACGGCCAACCTTGTGTTTACGAAGGCAATTTAAAAGCTGAAAAAAACTGGTTTGGTTATTTAATGAACGTGAGCGTAAAATTAACTGGTCAATTAACTTTTGAACTCGTTTATCCAGCAAATAAATGTTGTCTAAATATTCTTTTCTACACTGATGAGCAGACAAATATGATGAATGAACGAATGGATTGTTGGCAGCGAGAAAACATTTTAAAACCGGAAGAAGATCAAATTTTAAGACTCACTCCAAGTTTTCCGTGGTCTGGTTGCCATCTCGTCTCACACATGCAGCACAATTACGACGTATTTTTTAGACGTAACGACCAAAGTAGTAAATTCAACAATGATAACAACAAGGACGTTTTCGTTTGTAAAGGAGGAAAAAGTTTTTCTTCAAATCAGTCGGGAAGTAAATTAACCACGTGGTTTGTAGCGGTGAGCAATTGCATTTCTTTAGAAGGGATAGATTTACTGTACAGATTTAAATTTTATGGAAATGCCGGACTTTGTCCGCCAAAAATTGCTAACGCGAACAAGAACAGAATGAGCGCGTCAACAGCACATTTATCGTCTTCGTTTTCATCGTCGTTTTCATCACTATCTACCTCTTCAGGTTCTATCTCTTCCAAAAGCCTGGAAGAAACTCAAAAGTTGCCTTATTTTGACCAAAATAATTCTCCGCTACTGTTTTCAAAAGCTTCCTTGACACCTCGCCAAGCTGATCTATCCCGTCCCGATGGTCGGAGTAACCAGGATGCATGCGTTTACATCGGAGACGTCAATTCGACTTATACCTGGTTTGGATTTTTAAAAAATTTGTCGATGAAAGCAGGCGGTAGCATTAAGTACACCTTCACCCAACCTTACTCTATGCAAATTCAAAGTGTGATATTGTATAGAGATGAAGATATCGGCAAATTGGACTGGGAGATGAGTTGTTGGGAGAAGGAAGGGATCATTCCCTCTTTGATGGTGCAGTATCAAATCATGGATATGACCTACAGATCGACGATGAACGGTTGCTACACAGTTTATCCTTACGACATGGAAGATAGCAAAGACAAATCTCACGCAGAATATGAACATGTTGCTGAAGATTTCGTGAAAAATGAAGGAAGACCAGTTTCGAAAACAAACAAAGATAGCGATCGAGGTTTTGACGGAAAGAAGAAACTTGCTTCAAAACAGACAAACAAACTCAAATCCAACAGCAATAAAAATCTGACATGTACGGGAATTAAAAAGTTTGAGTCGCCGCAAAAAATTTATATCTCACTTAGCAATTGTCGAAGTCCCAACGGATTGTTGTTGCACTACAAGTTAGAAGTTCAGGGAATCGAAGGGACATGCTCTATGGCGCCATCTACTACTAAATGGTTTTCATTTATGTTTATGAATTTTTTTGTAAATTTTCGATGGTTGGAAATTTTTTAGTTTGTATTTAGAATGTTGAAGTGTTTTACAATTATTATTTTTAGTTTTTAGTTTATTGACCGGTGTTTCAAAGTTGTATGTCATACTAAAAGTGAGCAGCTGAATTATTTTTTTTAAATTCTACATCTAGTTTAAACTTGCAACTATTCAGAATTATTTTAAATTTAAACAACAATTTATAGAATGTTTGTCGTAATTTGTTTGATTAAACTTTTAGACATTAATTTTTACATTCGCCAAAATTTATAACCAATTTTTGAACGTCATAATTGCTTTTCATTCTCCGGTTATGTGATGTTAATTAGTTAAGAAAAATGGCTGCAAACATTCAAATAACAATTTTTCATTTTTTCAAATCGCTGTTGTTAATACAATATTGGTCAAGAATTAATTAACGTTTTTCAACATCAGGCATACAATTGATTGCTAATAATTACATTTTTGTGTCGAGTAAAACTTTTATAAATCAATCTATTCGCATGGAACGGTTTCATTCGTTGCCACTCGTTGTCTACAGAATCCACATACTACAAACTTACACGATATCATTTTACTTTTATCATAATAGAAGTTGAACTAAATGATTTTAAAAATTATCTTTTATTTTTTAATTTTTTCTTATAGAGGTATATATTAAATAAAATTAATATTAACGGTGTTTGTATATATGTATAAATAAATATCTAAGCCACGTGCATGATAAAAATGAATGTGTGTGTGTTTGTGTGTGTGTGTGGTGTTTGTGTGTGTGTGTGGTGTTTGTGTGTTTGAGTGTGTGTGTGTGTGTGTGTGTGTGTGTGTGTGTGTGTGTGTGTGTGTGTGGGGAGGGTACGTAATTCATGAAAAAGGTTACACGGATGGCACTTGAATAAATGTATGCTAAAAATATTTTACAATTACGTTTAATTACAGTTGTAATATTATTAACAAATGAATAATAATCATTATATAACAACTAAATAAATACTTATAAAAATTGTAATGTTTTTGATTTATCTTTTTCAATAAAAATTGAAACGGGAACAAAAAATTCTTTCGTTTTGTGGTAGGAAATTTTTCATAAATAAAAGAAACAGTTATTTTTTTTATCGAAGACTACGTCATCATAAGCCCGGTCGAAATTGCAAATTATGAAATGTCAACGAGTGATATAACGCTTGCCCGCCTCCTTAGGTTTTCAAGTATTTTCATCGAAACTGCTCTGATTTATTATTTCAAGGTTGAAGATTATATTTCATCTGTTTCCAATTTTCAAGCAAATCATCATTTTTTTAATGAAAAAGAAATCGAGACTATCTATGTATACAAACTGTTCTTCCTAAGTGGCAAATATAATATTTCAATTCTTTTCCGGATTCGTTTACTACTTTAAAAAGTAACATTTACTAAAATAAAAAGTATTTAAATAAAATGGTTTTACTTATGCAAACCTACTTTAAATTTTGTTTAACTTTTACAGATTATTTTAGGTTACGGTTTAACTTAGCAGAGACATTTTCGATTTGTTAAAATTATTACCAAATTAAAATTTTAAGTTAAATTTGAAATGTTATCAGAAAACTATGAAAAATAAAATTCCCAGGTAGGTCGTAACTTGTTTTGCATTGCATGTTGTTACGTAAGAGTTGTCGCGCTTGAAAAATGTATATCTTTTTTTATCCAAAAATTTTTGACTAATATTTCTTATATGGATCCTTGTGTGAAAAGTTTTCAAAATAATTTTCCATTGATATTTTTCCATTGATTTGATATTCGGCATTCATTTCATGCATAATGCAAATCTTCCAACTCGGTTGTTTGGGTTGCTCGCATTCGCACTCCTCGTGCTCCAATGATTTCATTGATTTAATTTTTATGCCGATTTGATGTATGAATATAATGATCATCAAACACAACATTCGCACACTGCCTCATAGTAGGTGTGGTGTTTATTGAATCAGTAATAACGGTCACTGCCGCCACCTACAACCGACTACTTCTTATTTAAATACAACAATTTTGTTCATTCCACTACGATTTCTAATGAGGTTTGTTTCTATTAACTATTACCATCTACTTATAATTTATATTTACAATTTCGTTAATGTGCTGCTGCTATTTTCACCTCTGTTGCTGGTACTTCTTCTTCTGAAATACTACCAAATCATTCCTGTCACTGCATCCACCGTTATTACTACTATCGCTGGGAATGCCGTTGCTTCTTATGTAACTGCTGCTACTACCAATACTCGCATTATTGTACGAGGTTTATCACAAATATTGTTATAAATGGCCTATTTTAATTTTACTACTAGTATTACCACAATCTCTACTGTTGCCAGTTTTGATAAAAACACTGACACTACAAATACCACAGTTTGTTGCTCGTACAATTATTAGTGCACTTAAACAGAAAAAATTTCTTTTCGAATGGATTTTTCAATAAAAAGTTCCTCGCTGAGGACAAACACAAAAATAATTAAATTTAGATAAAAATAGCAGACTGACAGAACAAAATTTAGTTTGATAGAAAGTGTTTTATTGAAATTTTATTCCATTACCATAAAATTATTTCCCTGACTGACATCAACACAACCACAATACAATCACCACATAGTTTGCGGGGATTCAGTAAAACCAGGACCTACCTATCCTGTCATGCCATGCATTTGTTTGTTGCAGAAGATTGTTTGATTGTTTTTAATTTTTTTCCAAATTTAGGATCATGAATACTGTGTAAAAATTTAATACTTCAAAATCCCTTATGGAATGAAATTTTATTATTAAGGAGTATACTGGAATGCTCTATAGCGAAAATGATATCTTCTACATCGAGTAGGAGCATTAATAACGATGTTTTTCCCTTCGGCGCCTTCTCTCATCAATTTTAATAAAATGGACAAAAAGATGAATTGTTTGCAGCCATAATAATGTAAGACACTGTCTACGTGTCCGTACATCAAGACTGATGTCGTTAAGTTACATTAAGGATTGCTTGCTAGCTTCCACGCTTGCGTCTTATTTTTCTTTCATTACTCGACTGACAACAATCACTTTTTAATGTTATTAGTGTAGTGTTTCTTAACAAGACTTTATTAAATTTTTTTCCAATTGTTATTTTCATTATTACAACGTTGCATTAAGCAATGTTTGAGACATTAAGTGAATTAAAATTGGCTTTTAACGTAATTAGATTGGAGTAGTTGTTGCATTCACCTGTTACTATTGTCCAGAAAACATGGTCTGCGTTACTGAGCCAGTTTCTAGAAAACTGCCCACCTACTACTAAGATAAAAAGTTGTTACCTCACGCAGACAGCATTTATGTACGTAGATGTTAAAATTTTGTTCTTCAAAATTTAAATTTTTAAATTTTAAATGAAGAACGAAGTTTAGTTTACAACGTTTCAAGGGATTACATTAATTTCTTCAAGTGCTTATTATTACAAATGTGATCTTTAAACTGAAAAATTTGTGTTTATTTGGTTAAAAGTTCAGCAAATTTTACGGGGCAAACAACGATAGAGTAGCGAACAGCATTTGATCTTATATTTTAATATTTTTAAAGACGATTTTACAGAGATCAGAAGACGCATAGAATATTAGTTACAGCAAAATTTGTGAAATATTATTTACTGATTTTTGAGAATTTTATAAACTTTATTATATAAGTCATCACATAAATTTTCTTCTCATTTAAAAACAGTATAACGACGGCAAATTTAATTAATCACGGAATTGGAAAACTAATGAAGCATACAACTTGGTGCATATGTGATGCTTGCGACATCTTTCATTCCATGGTTTTTTTTCCACTACAAATCATTTTTTTACGATATTAAAAATCAAATAATACAA